TTAGCAGACAAATGTCACAGTAAAAAAATATGAATAACAAACATGGAATATGAAGAATAATAAAAGCGATGAAATAGATAGAACATTCAAAATATCTAGAATGAAATAATCAACACAATCTCATACGTTGGAAAAACAACATTATGGACAAATGAAATGATAATTTCCATTCTAAAATTTCCTCAGGACTCTGCAAAGTAATATAGAATGCAATTATATACCTGGTGAGATTATAAAGCAGTTAACAAATAAACAACATAAACATATGAAAAATAAAGAACGGGAAAAAATTACAAAGCAGAAACCAAATAACAGGGAAGGAAAACTCTTAAACGTGGAAAACAACCGTGAGAAAAACATTACACCGGTTTTTAGTTTTATAGCAACGCCAAAGAGAACGAAAATTCGTAACAAAGTAAGAGAGTATGTCTCTCAAAAACTGTAGACGAGCGCATGTCATTTTTCTGGCAACTGGCGAAGAAGAAGGAAAACAAAGAACGCTCAACAATATATGACGTTTTTCCTTTAAATTGTTTTCCGAGTAAAGGATATCAAATAACTATGAGTGTATGTGTGTGATTGTGTATGTCCATGTCTGTGTATGGACAACCACAAAATTATAAAATTCCACACAAAAACATACACCACACATTTCAACAAAACATCATAAATTATCCTTAGACTGGCTGGGTAATGTTTTGTAAAGTGCACAAAAATAACAGCAACAACAACAATAACAGATGCAACCAAAGGCAAACAAGAATGGCACGCGAGTAGAGTGACTGAAATGTTTTGCAAGACACAAAAGCCTTTACCACCAGCAAATAAAGATAAATGCCTGCACATGAGTATGCAAGTGTATGCGTGAGTGAGTGTGTGTGTGTGTGCTTGTAAAGAAAATTAATGACGTTGCATTAGATAACAACAAGAACAACAAGCTCTGCCAGTCACTCAACTAACCAACCAACCATCCATCCAAGCAGTCAACGCAGCAGCCATCCAAATAAAAGAAAATAGAAAACGAAAACAAAAAAAAAATATGAACAACAACAAAAAATATAAAAATGAAAATAAAAAGCGGCCAAAAACAATAACAACAAAGATGCGAGCACATGACTGCGGTATTTGAAATGTATTTAAAGGGACGTTGTATTTTCTAATATTTGTTGAACACACTCACACGCAAACACACACACACACACACACACTCTTATGCACACAGGACCAACATGCGAACTATATACACAGATATACTGGAAAAAAAGATGCATGACAATTTGTTAAAATCAGGATTGCCATGTTTGTACAATTATTTAAATAGAAAAAAAAATTCACTAAATGTATTTGGTATTTTTGTGATTTTTTTTCGTTTACTGACCCCGCCACATACGACTGCAATAAATTAGATATATTTTTTATAGTTGGTAATATTTTGAGGGAGGTATATACTTCTTGTAATAAGATATTGTTTTTGTTCGGTGAAATGCCGATATCGAAAAAATCCAAATCAGATTTTTGTAAAACACTTCTGTGCCCTGAATCCACTATTTAGTTGACATTCATTCTTGGTCCATTAAATGTAGAAATGATATGAGAAATATTCATATGAAGGACGACTACAAGGCTTTGGTGGTTGAAAAACATCGGGAACAATTATAATTTCTGTAGAATTTCAGTGGAAGGATCAATAATTCCATGAAGTTTAGCAAATTTGTAGATGTTTTATTAATTCTATTGTTTACTACTTAATATTTTCTATGATTCCACATAGTCAATTAAGAACAGTAGCGGATCCAACTGATTTCAATAAACTGACCTTGAAAATCAATCTCAACCCATAAAATGCAAATAAGGACCAATTTGAAATTAATAAGGCACACTTACCGTATTTGGTGCCTCATACACAAAAACCAAATAAAAATATTGAGATCTGGAACCTAGGCATTTTTATAGTTTCAATACTGAAAAAATCTTGTTTCAGAAGTAGCGATAGCTACTTGAATATTTTCGTTCAATTCTAACGTATAAATGCATTTGGTCTATGACATTAATTACAAACCCATTATATGAGAGGTTGGCAACCCTATGTTCTGTATCTAATATATAGAAACGTGCATTTTCACAAAGACTTAGGGAAAATCAACAACAATAGCATGCATGTATAATATATATTTACTTGCACGCCGTCTATGTGAATATAACTTGAAATGTAGATGTTTATTTTAACTTGCTACTAATACGAGGGTAGTATTGCATTAAAGGGAAATTACGATGTTCTATTCTTTTATTTTTAAATCAAAAAATGAAAAACGTTACGAACTAAATTAGGAATGGATTAAAACTGTGTTGGATTATTTAAAAGATAATTTTGAGTTTATGACCCTATCAATAACTCAAATGTACACTAAAATTATCATTTTACTCAGCTTGGAAATACAACTCATAGCTTTGGAGACAATCGACGTCTAATTATTATTCAATGCTTTTTCATTCGGGATGTTTTTTTTTTACAACACTAGCATATTGTAGACGCCTACACCGTTCATACATTCCCTTCAAATTTTTGCTAAGAATTTGGAGCCAAAAATGTGTGCAGCATTTTGTTGTTGATGTTGTTATTGTGAGTGATTGTAGAAGAATGCAGATTCTTTCAAGGAAAATTGCAAAAGGGCAAAGTTTAAGGCGGAGAAACTACCAGCAAAAGTAGATGAAAATACATTTTTAAAATATTCCGAATATCACGAGTGTTGTTCATGCCGAAGTTGATGTTTATCTTGGTTATTGAGCTGCCAAAGCACCTTCAACGAAGCGTCATTAATGTTGAAATTTTCAAAGTGTACAGGAAAGTTTAAATAGATTTTGTCAATGTAAATAAAATATGAAAACAAAACTTCAAACAACAATTTATATTTATGCTTGCGGAGTGTCAAACAATTTCCGATAAAGCATGTCCTACAAAAAAGTAATTGAAATGAACATTTAAATGTTCAAAAATAAGCTTTTGAAGTTTTCACATTCAAATCTTGGACATTCCATTAGTGAAATAATTACCTAGCTACAATATAATTAAACGACTTCAAGGCTTGCTTTGCCAAATGCCTTTATATATTTTTAGTTTAGAAAACATACCCAAATGTCTGTATTTTTATATAATACAAAAACCAAACTATTTTAGGTTCAAAATTTCTTCTCAATGTGAAATACTCTTTCATAGAAATAACACTTAAAATGTATAATAAACAAAAAATCCAGTGAAATCACAACAGTAGTATAAAAAAAGAGGCTGTTGAAAAACAACAGCTATTTTTTTCTATAAATATATGTTAGTGTGTATTTACATTTGTAGATGTTGAAATAAAAAATTTTCACCATTCCTTCGGACAAAAACCAAAGCACACCAAATGACACAAATTGAGCACGAAACAAAATTGGGTCTTAAGTTGTAAAATATCCAACCACACAACGTCAGTCCTTGTTTGAAAAAAACATCCCTTCTCACACACACACACACACACACACTTTCACCTGTCTTGACGCTATAGTGCATAATATACGAGCTCTGTGGGCTCTGGCGAGAACCAAATAGAGCTGAATGGCAAATTTATAACAAGTTGTGAAGAGATTTAAATAAGTTTGGGTTTTATTTTAGTTAACAAACCACTGCCAGCCAGCCAGCCAACCAACCAACAGATTCAGCCAGAAAAAGGATCTCAGTTCAAACAGCCAGCCAGTCGTATAAAACTGTGCTGAGTGTTACAACAACAAGCAGAAAAAAAAACAACAAAAGTGGCGGGTAATAAGTGAAGAAATGAAAACAAAAACAACATGATGTCCTATTTAAGGAAGTATAATATATTTGTTCGCATTGCTCAGATTACAATCAGAACAGAATAATGCTGGGAAAAAATTATTTATATCGGTTTAAATTACAGGAATGTTTATCTTTGGTCTGATTGCAAGATTTAAGATGCAGATTTGCGAAATTAAAAAAATTACTCTGAAAAAAGTTATAACCCAGGGATCTTTGTATTTTTCAATGACTCATGTAAAACAAGTAATGACGACGTTAAGTTCGACCAGATCAAACTATTTCTATCTGCACTAACAAATATAGCATACATCGGACTCGACCGATGAAAGTTGTCTACCTCGGGGACTAAACCATAAAATGAACCAATACCAATACCAAACAAAACAAACAATACCAAAACAAAAATTTTAATAGTAGACGCGATGTATGTGCACAATTTCTACCTTTAACATAAATAATGGGAGCTATCACGATAGATCACTTTTTTATTTTTTTATTGGAGGAACCTTTATATTGCGCTTTTTTTGAAAATAAGGAATCTTTTTTGGGAAGAAGTGTTCTGCCCATCATGTACTCGCGATGCCAAATTGCAGCCACTAAAGAATGCCGCATTCAATGGTTAAAAAAACTTCATATGTCATAGATAAAGAATAGCTTGTGCATCCGATTCTCATACAAAATATAGGGATCCTAGCTTCAGTGGTTTCGTCGGTGTCGAATACAAATTTTGATTTAATTTAATAATTTCAAATGTGATTAGAAAATTGTAAATCACACACAAGTGATGAGATATATTTTTAAATTAAAATTTAATACATTTTTCGTCCTGTATATGTGTGTTACACAATTTTTGTTCTCGCTTTCATTTCCTCCTAATCCATGCTATTACAATTTCATTAACAATAAAAACTTTCAAATGGTTCAAACTTTAATCTGAAATTTCTCAACACAAGAAACTAATTTTGGTAGAAGTTTTAAATGCGTGTAACACTTGCCTTAAAATGTCTACATTTGTTTTTATTTTCGGACGATTATTCGTTCCCAAAAGTATGCTTTATTTAAAAATAAATAAAAAAAGCAAATTTTGCCTTGCTTCAAAAAAATAAAGAGAATCTTTTTGGGAAGATGTGGAAATGGACCACCACACAGCAAATGAGGCGTAAAGGGAAACACATTAACAATGACATACCTTTGAAACAGGCACACCCCATGATGTATCCCATCATCAGAGTAAACTTTTGAGCTTAACCTTGACGCTAATGATGATGATGACGACGACGACGACAACAAAGCAGCAACAACAACGACGACGATGATGATGACAATGTTGAATTAGGATATTTGAGTAAGGTTCTGCTTTGCTGACTTGATATGCTCCAAAAGTAAATGCCTTCAATGATGACAAGAGCGCGTTGACGCTGTTGTTGTTGTTTTTGGAAGCGCTCCTCTTGCTCTGGGATATAAAAATAATGTCCTTCTTCAGCTTCTATTTACTTTTTTTCAACAATGTAATAACACATGTGGGTATGTGTGCGGGCACACACATACATATACAAACGGATTGAAGAACAAAATGTTGGCGTTAACTTTGGACTAAAAGGGCTTTAGTCAGATATTGCGTTCAGACACATGCCGACAAAAATAAACAAAACCACAGTGAATGCTTATTAAAGTAGCTGGCGTTGAAAATATCTCTTGGAGATTTCAGTCATTCTATTATTAATGAGAACCATATAGAAGGCAACTTTGGACATCCAATGGTTTCAAATATGCCCTTATTAACACGCATCCGCATAAAATGAAATAGATACACACACACATACAACTTTGTAACTCTAGGGCACTTGTTTATTGTATTTATAAATAGTATTTTTTAATTTCGTATGCGATTTTTTAAACCGAATTTTTGAGAAGCATTTCAAAATATCCTTGAAACACCATTTTGTTATTTAGCACCTTAACACATATATTTGTTTTTGGTTTAGTTTTTCGCACATATATACTTGTGTATAATTTATTTTTTATTGGTTTACGATTTTATTTACGTATATTCGGGTTTTCATTCTTTTTTATTTTGCTTATCGTTGTTGTTGTTCTTGTTATTGTTTTAATGAATATTGATTGATTTTAATGATTGCACATGAATTGGTTTGTAGTTGCTGACTGACATACGCTTTGATTAAATTCTTTATTATTAAAAAACGACGAAGAAAGGCATTGCAATTGTTGTTCATACTCTTCTTCTTCTTCTTGCTATAAGTGGTTGTGTAGATACAAACAACACTGATTTCACTTAAGATATTTTGTTTTGTTATTATTGCTTATCTAAAGTCTAGTAATGGCCTTATGATGAAGATTTTATCTCTATTGGCGTTATGGGTTTTCCATTTTGTTGTGGTTGTTGTTTTTTTTCTCTCTTAAATTCTACAACTTATTTGTTATTATTATTATTTAATAATGATTTAAGATTATATTTATCACAATTTGTTTTATTTTGTTTGAATTCTCTCTTTATCGCTTTAAATATTTTGTGCGGTTATTTCTTCTGTTTTATTTTTGTGCCTCAATTGAGCTTTTGGCGCGGGGCGTTGACTTTCTTGTGACATTTATTTGTTTTTAATGCTGTTTTTCTTTTGTGTTATCTTTAGAAAAAATATTATTGTTATTGTTGGTGTTATTTTTCAATTGCAATTTATTGTTTTTTTTGCGGCTATTTTTGCGCTTATTATTGTTACAGATAATATTATCTTTTAAAGAAATTTGTTTCACTGAAAAATCATTACAAAAAACTATTAAAACACTGTATACATTATTCAGTCTTTTCTATTAGTGGTTGTGTGATTTTATTGTCGTGTCCATTAGACAATGAATATTTTTTTAAGGATATTGAATTAAGGATATTTGTGAAATATTTCTTTGTTATTATTTATAGGATGTGAACGTGTTTAAATTCCAACATCTCAAAACATATTGACATTCGTTTGTTTTCTTTCAAGACTAGCAATTGCAAACTCCCAATTTTTGTCCAGACTTTGCATGTCTCCAAGCCACATGGAAAATGCTTTGTTTTGCAAGCCACACCATTATCAAATTTTAAATTTATCTCTGGTTAGACATTAACAGCAATTGGGTGGAGCTGATTGTCCGGCCAGCTAGCATTATGATGTGGTCTTCCAAATTGTTCGAGACAACGAAAACCGCAAATGCGTCGCCATCACTCTCTCACCTTTGCCAAAACAAATACTTTCTTCAGCAATGTTGGCGAAAAGGTCATTACCAAATAATGTCTGGCGAAATGAACGTTCATTCAGCCAAACTTTCTTTGTGGCCATGATTCGTTTAATGTCCTTAGTGTGTAACGGGCAACTGCTGCTGAATGAATGCTCCCAGAGGATTTAATTAATTTAAATTAACATTCTCGTTAAAAATAATGCTGAAATAATTTATAGTGAAATGCGAGAATATTTAAAGCATATTAATGGATAATTAATTACCCAAAAATGAGAAGCGAAACTATTTTCAATTACAATTAATTTAATTTAAATTTATAAAAAATGTATTTGCCTATATCAAGGAATGGTTGCAATCGCTATACTGTTTTGGTAAGGTATTTTGGCTTACAAAAAAGCAACCTAAATATGGGTATTTTCGTTTTTATTTAAAATTTTTCTTATTTTCTCATTTATAATAGGACTATATTCACGTTTTCAATTTAAAATTCTTTCAAATATCTAAAGAATTTCCATATTCATCTTACAAATTTAGCAAAGAATTCAACAAAAAAAAGCAAAACAGAAAATCTCCATACATTTGTGTGTTTTCTTATTTCTAATTTTCAAAATTTGTATAGAAGTGAATGATGAATGCCTTTTGTTAGCACCACTTTTTGTGGTCATTCCCAGCCAGTTAGTCCGTCCGTCTGCCTTGTCCATCAACACATTGCGGCGCGGAAGTTTATTGTTGCCGAATGGAAACGTATGTATTGTTTTTGAATAAAATGTATACAAATCCATGCCACAAATTCAATTTCAATGTCAAAGTTTTTCGTTGAAATATTTATAGGAAAATTCTTGTCTAAATTAAGAAAGCAAAAAAAAAAAAATCCGAAAAATTCCAATTGAAAAGCTTTGATTTCATACCACAGTATGGTGATTGCAATATTTTTAATTTCATTGGACTGTATCTCGTCGAAAAAAAGAGAAAAATATATTATATGAAATAGTTGGCCACCATGACGTATGAGTGTTCCTTTATTGATTTAATTAATAAAACACATACGTTCCCATACACAATTCGCACACACACACACATTCTCATTCATGTGTTGTATTTTTCCAGTCATAAATATGAAAAATTACAGTAATTGTTTAAATTACTTGCAAACGAAGCGAAGAAGGAAGGAAGGAGAAAGTGGAAAAATAAAAAAACTGCAAACCATTCACCAGGTTGACAGCTTGTGACTATTGACAGCCACAGTATCCCCTGTTCAAGTGTCCACTTAAGAATATTCATCATGCTGTCCATTTTTATTTTCATGTTGTCGCCTGTCATGTCCTTTTGACATCTGTTGTTTGTAGGTGGTTTTATTGGTTGTTATTTTTTACTATTCGTTTTTCTCAACATTCCCCCATCCTCCTTTCGAAACTCTCAGGAGTACTCCCTAGTCGACATTTTCTATAGGTATGCATAGTAATTTGTTCAATTCTATATATATATATATCAACATTCTGATAGATGTGGGTGTGTTTGTTTGATGCAAATAATTGTTACATGGTTTGACATATCATCCTCCATTTATATTCTAGAGAATGACAGATGGTGCAAAATTTTATAGAAGTATAGTTGATGTTTACTGTGAATATAAGAACAAAAATACTAATGAGTGTCGGGTTGCTATCGATGACAGTTTTCATTTGGCAATAAATCATTAGTATAGGATAGGAGCAAGTAAATTACACACCTTATTTATATAATTCAAAAAAAGAATGATGCTTAAATAATAACTCTTTTCCCTTTCAAAAGAATAATTAAAAATAAGTGCAATAATATGGGGATTCTTGTCGAACCTATGCACTATTGTAAGCTTTTTTCAGGATCTCAACCAATGCTCTTCTGCACCACAAACCCCCTCCCTTCTGTGAAATCACTTTCGGAATCAGATTTTTTAAGAATAACTACAGTCAGAAACGGAAGTGAAGTTTTCATTCAAAAAATTATAATGAGTTCAGAATCCGGCATTGATTCGACTCCCTAGCTGTGTTTGAAATAACAGAATTTTATTTTAATTTGGTTCATCTTACTATCCGTAGAATAAACATAAGTTCACTTCCCTGTCTCTAGGTTTAAAATACAGAACTAAGAGTTTATTATTATGATAAAAATACAGTGCACCTTTAAACGGCATATACATTAATTTTTTTACAGGGCTAACCGTCTCTATGAGGATTTATATATGCCACTGAAATCCACTGAATTTATTACAACCAGTACAATGTAACTGTACTATTATATTATTTAAAAATATTAACCCTCAGTTCGATGACAATCGATTATAGAGCAACAAAAAACAAAGCACGTTCCTTGGCATTGTGAAATGTTCGTTGGATTTTCCTCCAAAAAATGAAAACACCAAATATTCACACACACATTTTCTTTCTCAGAATTATTATATACGTAGAAAATTATAATGAAAACAAGCGTCGCCACTAAGTGACAAAATTTTCCCATTACAAATGGCTGAGGATGTCTTTCGCTTATCTATTCGCCCGATCGCTTTTTAAATATTTGAGATGACGATCAGCAGTTTTACGAAAACAAATTTCATTCATGAAGCAGACCTGGGCTAAAAATAAAATCTTAAAAAAATTAATCGAAAATATTTGCACATGTCTATAAAACATGTGCATGTGTATTAGGATGTGCCTGCAATAATATTGAATAACATTAATTTTTCCGAAACTTTCTATAATATTTTGCAATAAAGTTCAGCAAATATTATTTATTGTGATTTTTTCTAATTTATTTATGTTATAACTTGTATTTAATTTCTGCATCTGCATATTTAGTTTTCGCTCCCACCCTAATAAACCGCACACAAACATCACGTACTTGTGTGTGGCCTTTAATATAATTGCTGTGACAATGTTGTTGTTGTTTCTGTTTCTGCTACATGCCAGGCTGGCAGATAAATATACGGAGATAACACAAGTTTTGTGGCAAACGATGTCTGTCGCAGAGGTAGCCAACCGACGACTAATGTTGCCGGCTGTGACGTTTTATCCACTAACAGGTGGTC